CTATGCTCCACATAACTGAACCTGTCAACATTGTCACTGATTCCTTGTATGTAGCAGGTGTGTGTGAGAGAATTGAAGATGCTGTCATTCGACAGGTGCAAAACAAGAGGCTATATGAGTTATTTATGACCTTGCAAAGGGCTACCAGACTGCGAGAACAGGCTTTCTCTATTATTCATGTGAGGAGTCATAAATGGGACCTGGGGCTGGGAGAGGGTAATGCCAGGGCCGACAGGTTGGGTCAACGGCCCAGGTAGCTACAGACCAAGGAAGCTCATTCCATGTTCCATCAAAATGCTAAGGGGCTGCATCRGGAATTTCGAWTTCCTATTGGCGAGGCCAGAGCCATCGTCAGGGCATGTCCTATCTGCAGCCACCATAACGGGGGCTGTGGATTAGGACTTGGAGTTAACCCTCATGGCCTCGAGAGCAATGAGCTTTGGCAGATGGATGTYACCCATGTGCCAGAATTTGGGAAAGTCAAGTATGTCCATGTGACTATCGATACATACAGTCATTTTGTATGGGCTACAGCACAGGCTGGTGAAAGGGCTGTGCATGTCGAGCGACATGCATACAGCTGTTTTGCAGTCATGGGAATACCCAGGAAAATTAAAACTGACAACGGACCGGCTTCTACTAGTAAGAGATTCGAGCAATTCCTGTGTCAATGGGGAATAGAGCATGCGACAGGCATTCCTCATTCTCCARCTGGACAAGCAATTAYTGAGAGGGCCCATGGCACTCTAAAGAAATATCTGAGGAAGCACTCCAATGTAGGAGATCCTCAGGGAAGGTTATTGAAGTGTCTTTTTGTTTTGAATTATTTGTGTGTCTTTGGTGACAACGATGTTCCTGCTGTTATTAAACACCATCGTTGGACTAATCAGGAAAAGCCACCAGAGATCTGGGTGAGATACCGAAACCCTAMGACAGGCCTTTGGCAGGAACCAGCYAGGGTACTGTACTGGGGTCGAGGGTATCTCTGTGTTTCTTCATCCGCAGGACCTCTATGGGTGCCTGCGAGATGGACTCGGGTAGCAATCCCTGAAATAACGGTGCCTACATCCACCAGCARGAAGAAGAGAAAGGACAGTGAAAGGGATGAGAAAGAAGATGCTGTGGATATTCTTATTTCTCCGCCAAATCCATCGGATTCGCCAGATGAGTAATAGAAAGGACAGATAAAGGAAGGCTGTCGAAGAACTCGATAAAGTGTCAAAATGTTGTGCTAGGATGTTTTACAGTTTTGGCTTTSCTGTTCTAGTTCTGTTATTCTGTTCCTGTTCTTGTTGTTATATATGTGTAAGAATTTACTGTTGTTAAAGTTTTACCTTCTGATGTAGTTTATAGTTTTGCTCTTGCAGGTTTTCGWGCTGACCAGACTCTTTCTTCCTTTCTTTTTTAAAGAAAAACAGGGGAGATGTGGTAAGCCATTATGGGGCCTACCTAGGCCTGGTAAGGGCAGAGAAGGTCCGTGAAGGATCTGGAACATTTGGTGCCGTTGGCCACCGTTGGCTGACAGCCGGCAGGCGCTGTAACAGTTCCAGTCGGGTCTATCTCGAGCGCCCGCGAGGCCGTGAGAAGCCACAGTATAACCCTATGGCGAGGGTAGTCAGCGTGAGCCCCCTGCAACGGCAGAGCTACCTTATAAGGAAATTTAGAGCATTAGTAAGAGCTTCTGTAYGTTAAGTTACCGTTATTCCTGTTACAAAAAGCGTTACGTCTAACTGCCGCCGCCATTACGAGCCAAGGGTATAAAAAGCCTCGGCTTCCGTTAATAAAGCGGATGAGATAGCACATACAACCAAGTCTAYGAGGTCGTTTATGTGTCTCTCCCCGTCTCCTTGCAAATGGCCGCGCCAGCAACCTTCTGGCCGTGCTTTGGCTGATGCAGCCAAAGGTACCATTAGTTGTCTGATGCATTGGCCTTGTCTAAATGCCAGGTGCTCACCCAAACGACTCAGTCACTCCCTTCCTGGGCTGGACAGGGGAGAGAAGATACAACGAGAGGCCTGTGGGTCAAGATAAGTACACTACTTACCCATGTCGAAGTGTGTCAGTCACTTGTCCCAGTCTGGTGTCCATCTGCATTACACAGCTCCTCCAACCTCTAGATAACTGTTTTGTGACATGTTTTTTATTTATGTTGAGGATCAAGAGGTTGTCTAATTTGACAGCATCTTGCCGAATATGTTTTTCTGTGAATCTGTGTCCTAAGGGGCTGTGTTTAGTGCTTTAATTAATCCCTAATCTGATCCCACAACGCATTGATTATCCTGTATTATTAGAAGCATAGTGTTCCAAGTTTGAGGCCTAGCTGCAGTTCATTTGCTGAACTGGCTAGGTCAAACTTGTCTTTTTTTGTTTTTTAGTGATTTTTGGTCTTTGACATAGCACAGTTCTTTATATATGTTGCAGATTTGTATAGTTCTCTAATGAAAATTATTTAGATCACAGAAGTAGAGACATGAGAATTTACATTAAAAAAGGAATTAAGATTGTGTCATTGCTTACATGAATGGTTTTGGACAGCCTTGGCATATTTTTTGGCCAGCTGAAAACTAATATATTTCTGTTTTTAGTTGTTTGTGACTAAATCTTGTGAATAAAATTTGCAAGTTTAATCTTAATTAACTTAAATCAGATTTTAAATCTTGCAAATAGTGCAATACAAGTCAAGTGTAGCTGTTTAACAACAGCTTTTGTGGCTGTTTAGCTGGTATGGCTTCTTATGCTTAAGCACTTTGGATTTGTAAGAACCATTTTTGATACACGTGCCCTAAGTGGGAGTGATTTTTTTAATGAAATACATGTATTTTCATTGGTTCCATGTCAGAATCCTTTTTTTCTATTTCATCCTTATAAAACTGTTTTGACTATGTCTTTCAGGGACTGGAAGATATTTGGATTTGAGTTGTTTTTTACATATTAATATTTATACTAATATAGAATACAGTATTTAGAACATTTTATTTATACTAATTTAGAAGCACTACCTAATACATTTTGAAGATTTTGATTATGACTGGAAACTTTCCTTCTACCAAAATTGGTATTCTCAAAAAATGAAATAATACTAATGTATATGTCTTCAGTAAAGCACGGTATGATTTTCTAGCATAATTTTTGAAGAATGATAAAATTTTGGAATTAAATATTGTGCCAACTAAAATGACTTGAACAATAAGAACAGTTGAAATTAAACAGGAGGGAGACTGTSTCTGGTTTATGCTGCCATACCCCTCAGTGTATGAAAGGATAGGCTACTCAAATAATGTAAAGCAGTCTGATGTCAACTGTTCTTGTTACTGTATTTGCAAAAAAAAAAAAAATTAAAGTATCTGATTTCTGAAATGGATTTAAAAAGTTACTTAAGTCCATAATAAACAAATACCTTAATGATATAATGGTTTATTACAGGTTGAATTAAAAGTAAAATATTCTCCCAGATTGCAATAAGTACAGAAACCTTGGTGATAGTTAAGGAAATTTGTGAACCTTGATTCTTGCTATGTCAGTATTGGCTTTTATTTTTTTCCTTTTTTTTTGTGCTTGTAGAAAACATTATGCTAATGTTTGCATCTGTGAAATATTCCATATTTTGTGTTTTACATATTCAGGAGGGTTTTATATTTCTTCCCATCACGTAGAATAGGAATTTGAAGATACATTTGGTATATCAAAATGAAATATGTGTGTATGCAGGGGAGGGAGAGAAAAGGAGGAATCAACAGAACCAATGCAATCTTTATTGGGTTGGTCTAAAGCTCATGAAAGAACTTCCTAATGTATTCAAATGCCTCGACAGGATTTGCTAAAAACTACTGCTCTAATGTATTAGTCATCTTTTATCTCCTTCTATTTTTACAGGTTCTGAAGGATGACTGGTGCTGTTTTCTGTGATGCCGCTTGAAGTCTCTGCACTCCCGATCGATAAGTAAAGTGCAGATTTAGCTGCACAGCCTGGGCAGAAAACATCAGGCGTGCTACTTCTTTTCAGCTCCTTAAGTGGACACAAGTGCAGTGTATCTGCAAGGGAAGATTCTTCAACAGATTTTTAAAGCTAATAATAAAGACAACATAGTATCATCCACCTTTCTGATTTACAGTACATCACTTCCAAGACAGATGGTCTGTCAGAAGCTAGAGGATGTCTGCAGAGCACATAATAATGAAGTAGTGAAATGATACTGCTGCTGCTGCCCCCTAATTGTCAGGATCACAGCTGATAAAACTGCACTGCCCTTTTTCTGCTCACTTTATCAGGCCAGAAACAGCAGGGTGGACATGGCTGGCTGCAGTAACAACCTGCTAGTACTGCTTCTTCTGTTTCAAAACATCTGCTTAGGATTCAGAAGCTCACTTCCAGTCTTCAAGAGGTGGGTTATGCTGGAAAATATTACGTGTTGAATGCATGCAGCCATAATATTTAAAAAGTATGTAAAAGCATGTCCTAGATATGGTATTTTTTCAATTTTGATCATTGCTCTGAATTTTCTTTCTGCACTGTTGTCATATTGAGGACAGAAACTAATGTTTTATCCATAGGTTGCTCATTAAAGGTGAGTTTAGAACGATAAAGCAGCAATTAATAAAACTTTTTTTCATAATACTACAGCTGTATTTGAGACTACATAGGGAGTAAATTTATTTCAGATGCTTGACTTAGCTTGCAGGATAAGATAATGTTTTAACTAGAAAACATCARCTAAGCTGAACAATCCTGGGAAATTTTTGGGGTGGTTTGAATGCAGAATTGTGAAGGTAGACTTTAATGTAGTGTGGATAAGAGAAGTAGCTTCCTAGCTCCTGAAAAAAGGGTTTTACTGTTGCTGAGGTTGGGTGCTTCTGTATACATGAATATACATAGTCAAAATGTATATTAGTGTTGCATCAGGGTTTCTCATATCTTACCATTCTGTTCTTTACAGTGATCTACATTTTTCTTGCATTTTGTTTATATTGTTTATAAACAAAAAAAATTAATTTTTTGTTTATATTGTTGCATTCAGTACTGAATTTGTTATTCCTGTGAATCGCAAGGTTTAGTGTTTTGCCTCACTACTCTAGGACCATAGAAATTGCTATGAATAACACAGTGTTTGAGTTAACAGTTTACCCTTTGCATGTAATTTAAACCTGATCTATATTGAGCTGTAAATCAGGCACACAGTCTCAAAATAAACCTTCAAAGCTATTATGAATTATTTACAGTACTTGACATACTGTAGTGAACTAATTCTCTATCTATCATGTCCCTCAGACAATTATTATGATTAAGTAATAGGTTATATTTTCAGCTAACATTTTCCAAACTAGTTGTCTGATTTTTCAGCTCAGGAGCTACTTCAGTAAGTGTTGGATAACTAAAATGTTTTCCTAAACTCATGAAGGAGTGGAATTTTCAGATCACTCCTGGAAGAACTCAGCATTTTCAAACTTCTTTACTAGTTCCATAAACCCTTCATTTTAAAAAGACATAACAAAAATCAATACTTCAAAACATCTTTCTTCCTTCTTTTAAAGATATAAAGATGCTACCAGGTCTCTTTCCAGTGAATGCCTTGGAAGCAACCAGCCAGTGATTTCACTTGGTCTGTCAGATTTTGCACTGGATATTCGCATGCCTGGGGTAACACCTAAGCAGGTGAGAGAACTGCATTTTTTGCCACTTACTCTCCTTTTAATAAGCTAGGAAAACAAAACCTTCCCCACAATATTACTCAAATACTGTAAAACAAAAAAATCAGGGTAACTTTCATAGATATCTATGTTCAGAGAAAAGTAGGCAACAAAAAAAGTAATCTCAAATGAGAGAAAAATGTTTTCATTTTATTAATTTTATTTGTAAAATGTTGGTTTCATAAACTGATTTGTTGAAGTGTTATAAAGTGAAATATTTCTAGCTGTTCTAGTAAGACATGGAGTTGCAGTTTACACCAAATGTTGGATGATGCATTTAGTTACATTAAACAGTACATTGCTGCAACTTCGGCAAGCTGAGAGAAAACAACCAAAAAGCATTTTAAAAGAGGCAGTACTTCTGACCCAGTATTTTTAACTCTCAAAATACTCCATGAAAGCTACTATAAATGAGTCATGATGGTATATTCTTTCAGGCATGAACTTGGTTATATTCCAAGTATATATAACCAATATAACCAATGTAACTTGGTTATATTCCACTGAGCCAAGTGAGCAAAAGTGAATACAGTTAAGATTTTTAAACTTAACATTTTTAAGATTCACATAAAAGTCTTTGAGGTTCCACTGTCATTTTCACATGTAATTTCATTAAGCGAGATGAAAAATTAATTTTGTTTTCTTTCTGCAGTGAGCCATTGCAGGATATTATAGTTATATCATTAAGAGGTTTACATCTCTTTTAGAGGGCTGCAGATGCTTGAAAACAGCAGTATGTTGTGCTGCAGTAGTTGATGACTCATTGTTGCAGATAGAACTTTCAAAAGTAGTGAAGAGAAAATGATGTTTTTAAGTTTTGCGGAGAACCCCTCTGGAGCATGTAATTTAGAGAAAGAAGTGTTATTTCAGGAAGTGCAAAACAGAAACATATTTTCCATTAGACCTGTGTCTGCAGCAAAATGTTAAACTTCTCCATCAGAAAGAGTGAAAAGTACTCTCCGTTCATCCAGGTGCACATTTATAATTATATTTTATTGATTTTTCCTGAGGAGCCATCAGTTGAACAGCTAGGAAACACATACGAAGAGATCAGTCAGTTCAGATTCCTACTAAAAAAAATTGTCAAGGCTGGGGAAAAGATTGCCAAAAATCCTGCATTTTCTAAATGTCTTACTGGGCTTGTTGGAGGGGTAGGAATGCCAAGATTTGCCTTACATTTCACAACTGCAGTTGCTGTATGGGTGCATAAATGGTAGCCAATCCGTTATGTGATTTAGGAGTGCTCTGCCTGTACCTGAGATATGTGTTCTTTTAGCACAGGTACTATACAYAAACATTGATTGGAAACTTTAATTTTACTGCAGTGTGAAGCATTGCTGCCATTGGCCTTCAGAGTTTGGGTWTAAGGTTCTAAATTAGGTTGTGCCTTAAAAAAAAAATCTGCTTTAGAGCCCAGGTTCAGTAGAAAACAGAGTATTTCCTTTTGTATTTCTAGAAGGCTTTAGTAAATTCATTCTGTAAATGCATTTAACGAGAGTACACAAGGGCATTCACATTAGGTGTATCAGTTAACCTCTATTCGTCCTTCCCATCTTTACCAAAAGCACCAAAAATGGTTTCTTACCTGTGCGCATCACTGCTCTGTGTAATCACATATTGTTGTCACCATTGTACCTCTCCTTCCTTCTCAGTTGCATATCATTGTTTATGTGTATTCAGGGTGTCTTCTGTTATATTAAATTTGAAGTTATCCATAGCAGGAGTTTTATATTCATTGGTTTAGATGTCCTTAGGAAAGTGAAAGTCTGGTCAGATTTTGGGTTCATGTGAAAATTCCAGTAGGTGATACATTTGATAGGTGATACATTTGTAGGTGATACATTTCCTTTTGTAAGCAGCCCTAGAAGTTGGGGGGGAAGAAAAGAGGTTTAAGAAAAAAGAGGTTTAAAACAGTTAATGTACATATCTGACAGCTTCTTTGATGACCTTATAGCCTGATCTTTTTTACATGTAAATAAATTATGACAATAAATTTRTTATGATAATGAGCCAGTCAACCTCATCTTTTCCCAAATATCTCAGTAGAGTAGGTGTTGTTTTTTCTATATGGTCCTGTTGTATATATTAATTTGTTCAGTATTCTCACATTCATCTTCAGAAAGTATAAGGAATTTTGATACTTTCTTTCTATTCTTTAATTTCTAAAAGTTCCCATTTTAAAGGTAATACCTGTTCTATTTTCTTTTAACAGTCTGATACCTACCTCTGCATGTCAGTACCCCTGCCAGTGGATGATGAAGCCTATGTAGGTAAGTATTGGTTAACTGAAAGAACTTAAGCAAGCCCTTTTGAAGAACCTCAACATTTTCTTTTTTCTCTTTGRCTCACATGGACTTAATCTTTGGATGTCAGATTTTCCAAAATGCACTTGTCATGGCTAATGCAGAAACAAACTAGAGGGAGYTACTTAGAGTCAAGATAACAAACTATGTCTGAAAAGATTCGTGAGTAATAGCAGTTAAAGAGCTGCATGCAGCTGCCTCTGGCAGTCAGCCCCAAACAGTCCCATTTGTAAAGTATTGGCTTTCTGTCTCTGGCCAGATACTTGATTCTGCACTGCTGGACAGACTGTTTAATTACGTGCTGGTATAGGCTGTAAATCCTTTGCTCTTACAGTCAGTGTTGACTGCTGAAAGATTTTACTTCGAGAAGGAACCAAACCCTCTCCCTTTCTTCTTTTTTCCTTTCCTTGTCTTTTTTCCTAATATAATCGCCTGGCATGAATAAGATGGTAAACAAGTCAAAGAAGTACTGTCATACGTTACAAATGCTCTCAGAAAGTCTTTGAGGTAGTTACAACATTATGAAGTTGTTCAGATAAAAAGAAACCTTATTGGTTTGGCTGAAGATAGTTTTGCTGTCAGAACATGCTATAAACTGTGTAAAAGGAAGCAATACTTTTCTTCCTTTGCAGTTTTGTTGCATTTTAGGATATCTGAACTTAATAAAGAGTGGTGAGAATCCCATATAGTTACTGATGTAGTATATTATGAAACTGTAGCTCCTTGTGGATTTCCTTGTGGAAATCCTTCAGAGATAGAATATTGTGTTTTGATTTTTGTGTTGTATTGCGGTAACTAAAAAATGAGTAAATTTTTTTCCTGTGCTTTCTCTACCTGTCTGTTTCTAAAGTGAGAATCTAACCTCTCATTTTGGTTGTGAGTATGATCCCAGAAGGAAAAATGAACATAGAAAGTAGTGAGTGTTCACTCTTGGATAAACTATGCCTTGCTGTGCTGTGTATGCAATAGACCCTTCTGCTTTTGTTGATTCATAGAAAGGCAATACTACTAACTTCCTGCTTAGGCAGCTTTTATTTAGTGTTTCACTGAGTTGAAAATTTCCTACAGTTAACTTCACTATTAGGTTGCTGCACACCTAGTTCTGTTGTTTGTGTTAAAGCAATGTCAACTTTTTCTGATGGTGTGTATGGCTTACAAGGACCTACTGAAAGAATTTGCTTAAAAGTGGTGGAGTTCTCACTGCAAATCATGAAATACAACCCATTTTATTTTTTTGTTAAGACCTAGCAGTTCTTTACCTGATTTTTACAGGGTTTTTACTTTTCCAGTGATGACTGTTCTTGAGTATCTGTCATTACAAAGCAGAATAAGGTCTTGACAGAGAAACCATTCTAGCTGCTATGTAGAACTTTGAAGAGCAAGAGGAACTGGATGAGCAATTTGTAATAAAACCAGCTTGTTGTGTGAACATTAAGTGTTCCTGCGATACCATTCTTCACAAACTCATATTTTTGTATGCTTTTAAACTAAAAGAAAATTATTAGGTTTTTCCCTCTTTTGTCACTTCCACCCAAATTAATAGGCATACGGTCAGTCTGAAACATTCCATCTTACGCAAAATCACTGCAAAGTGTTACTCATGGAAAAGATCAGATTGCACTCTCCATAATCCACAGAAGTTACCTCATCTTTAAAAAGAATGTACTGAATCATATCTGGTTGCAGACAGTAGAAAGAATGCAGAATGGCCTATCTTCTAAACAATTGGATAGAAAACAGATTTTTTTCAGGAAAGAGGATACAGTTTATATTTTTATGGTTTAAGTAGAATCTGCCTTCATTGCATTGCCAATAAATGGTGTAATTAACTTTCCTTAAAATATACTGTTTTGCTTTGTGACAAAAATGCTGGAAAACTAGCATATGAACTGTCACTGGATTGGCTGTTTAGTGGTATATTGAGAAGACATCTAAGGATGTTCTATGTATTCTGAGGAGCTTGAACATGAGGATATGTGAATACACATAACTGAAACAATAAACTGGGTTCCTGAGACAGTTTGATGATACAGCTTCATGTTCTGCCTTCAGTTCAATTTATTTGCTAAATAAATGCCTTATGTATGAGTTTTTTTGCCTTTTACAGTTTAAAAGGTCATTTTTATGACCAAGTGAGTTTAGTTTCACCATGACTCACTAATTTGTTACTTTTTTTTTCCCTTTACTTTCCTAATTTTACCCCTGTTTATTCCCTCTTCCAAGACATTGTGGAAGAGGAGACTCCCATTGTGGAAGCAAGATATTTTTGTTGCATATTGGTGAAATATAAGGATCTTGGAAGAGATAGTGTCTGTTTTAGTATTGTATGTGAGCAGTACTACGTTTTTTAATGCATAGAAATTTTTTCTGTACCGGTTTTTCAATATTGGTATTAAATTTTTATTTAAGGGTTTGATATTGAGACTTGAACTTTGCTGTTCCCCTAAAAGAAACCAGTGAACTTTCACGCTTGCAGAGGGAGAGTGGGTATAACTTTGTACTGCAGAACTGGAGGGATACTGTACSAAAATTGACCAACTTGTTCCGAGTCAGTGCTGAGACATTATCAGAGGAAGAAATCGATCTAACTACTTAATGAAATGTCACCAACTAGAAGGAAAATTAGAGCAGGTTTTGCCCTGTAGATCTTTTTCAGGCATGCATTTGTGTATTTTTTCAGATGCTGTTTTCTGCATTGTGTTCTTTAGTGGAGGGTCAGGCTGTCAAAGTTGAGATTTCTATCTGAACCGGTTGTTTCTCTGTTCCCAAAGGGCTGTAAATAATCACAAATTGGGGTAGGAAAGGTGTGTTTTTATGAGGTGGGTAGGTGTATCTTTAGGTTTATGTAAAGAACATACTTTTTGGTCCTGTGAAGTGAAATGGCTGTCAGATTAATACATAAAATGTTCTTAGTGAGTCAGATTGTTGCCTTGAAAGGCCAGTTTTAATAATGACACAGACGTGGTTAAGGGGATAAAAAGGGTTTTACCTCAATATTTGGGATCCCAGGTGCACAACTTGATGGCAGAATGCACACCCGTGTACAGCATGGGTACAAGTTTTATAGGTTTCAGGAATTAGCATATCTATCTAGGATTCCCCARTAAGAAACTTAACAAATGCAGTAATGTCCCCTTATTCTAATGAGTGCCCCCCTGGATGAGGCCAGAAACCAGTTTACACAAGATGTTCCAGAGAGAAGGCTTCACCCAAGGCTGGAGCCTCGGGTTTAAGATAGCACAGGGCACAATGACTCCTTCCTCAGGATGTTTGGTCTCTCTGCCCCGCAGAATTCCTAAACTAAGCTGGAATATCAAGCTTCAGGAATTACAAGCATGTGGGCTAAAGGGTACAGGCGGATGCATAGAGGGTACAGAAAGCGTAAAAAGGAAAAGCAAAAATCGTCAGGCATCATTCCCCCCCTTTTTAGAGGCTAACAAGACTTCACTTGTCTAGTCTCTACACTACACTAACCACAACTACAACTATCACAGATACTTCTTTTACGCAGGCCCAGTCTGGTAACCATGAAAAATATGGTTGAACTTTAAGGTGGTAATTTTGGAAACTACTTCATGTAGAATTTGAGTCCCTTCTCAATTTTCATACCAATCAATGGCCAGTTACCACCCCCATCTAGATGAGATAATTGGGTACAGATCCAGCAATTGCTCCTGTCAAGAGCTCTGGATATATTTTGGACCATCGCAATGCAATTAATGGGCCGAATCCTGAATCATGGTTACCAGTTGGGCAGACAACAGATATGTGAAAAACAGTTTAAACCACATCAGCTTGATTTGCATCAGTCTCTGGTTCCTCAGTGGTTTCTTGACTCTGAAGTAGTGAGTCTATGGTCCTTTCTGAGCAACTTTSACCGCAGTGAGGGTGGGCAGCAAAGCTTGAAACGGTCTCTTCTTCTCAGCTTGCAAGAGGTTGCTGTACCACCACTTGATGCAGATCCTGTCTCCAGTCTGGAATGAATGAGCAGGTGTGTCCAGTCCTATGGGCCTGGACAACACGGCGAGTCTCTGGAGCGTCTGCAAATGGGAACTTAAAACCATTAAGCATTTCTGCAAATCAGTATGAGTTTTCCCCAGGATATGTGGAACCTGGTATGGTTTGCCATACGAGATTTCATAGGGACTTACATTGTCCCTCTGCCTTGGTTGTATGTGAGCTCTCAGCAAGGCCAGAGGCAAGGYCTGAACATGTCATTGAAGTTTCTTGGCAGATCTTACTGATCTGGGTTTTGAGGGTTCCATTCATATGCTCATCCTTGCCACTTGCTTGGGGCTTGTATGGAGTAATCAGGTCCCAAGTAAGTCCCAGAATCCTGCCAACTTCCCTGACCACAGTTGCAATGAAATGTGGTCCTCTATCTGATGATATTCCAAAAGGAACCCCCAACCTTGGAATTATGTGGTTTAGGAAAGTTTTTACTACTCCCTTTGCTGTGTTGGTGCAACAGGGGTAAGCCTCAGGCCATCCACTGAAGGTGTCAACCAGTACCAGCACATACTTGTATCCCTCCTTGCGAGGCATTTCAGCAAAATCTATTTGCCAGTAGTCTCCCGGGAGATCTCCTGCTTTTGTCACTCCTAACACAACTCTTTTTCTCCTGTCAGGATTGTTTCTACAACAGGTCTCACACTTGCTTGTTATAGATTGTACAATATCAGTCATCCCTCTCCCAACCACTACCTTCTTCAGATGTTTTAAAAGATTTTCTGTTCCCCAGTGGGTACCCTCATGCTCCCTCTGGGCTATTTCTCGAAGAAGTGGGGGTGGGAGTACAACCTGACCTGTTGGGGTAACAGCCCACTCACCTTCCTTGATTTCAGCTTTAGGAGCCTTAATCAATTTTTGATCCCCCTGATCATATTTTGGAGTAAACCCTGTCAAATCTACCTCCTTCTGTGTTACTACTGCAAGTTTGTCTTTTCCTGTACCCAGTTCTGTTGCTTTACCAAAAAGGTAATTTCCCAATTCAGGGGTTGTTTTCCCTTTTTGATGACCTCTGCAGTGCATGACAGTTACCTCTGTAGTCTTCTGGATATTCTGCCGGAGTGCAAGGATCTGTTCTGTAAGCTTAATTTCATTACCTTGAACAGTCAGCAGGCCACGTTCTTTCCAAATAGCTCTGTGGGCATGATCAGTGCTAAGCACATCAGTCCATATGTCCACCTTCTTTCTTTCATTCAGTTCTAGAGCTCTCGTCAGTGCAATCAGTTCAGCTTTCTGTGATGACACATCTGAAATCCTGTTCCAACAACACAGATTGGTAGTTAAGCATTCTGCTTGGGGATAGCCAGTGTCCCCCCTTTTGCTCCAGCATAAACACCACTGCGTGGGGTACATACACGACAATGTGCTGACCAAGGGTGAATTTACGGGCCTCCGGTATGAGGATGACAGTTGCTGCCACAGCCCTCAAACACCCTGGCCACCCTTGGCTAACATTGTCCAGCTGTTTTGAAAAATAGGCCACAGCTCATTGCTGGTCTTCAAGGTGCTGTGCCAGTAACTCCAGAGCAACACTGAGTCGCTTATATGGAAAAAGTTCAAAAGGCTTACTTAAGTTCGGCAGCTCCAGCTGCCCAGGGTGTTTAAATGCAGCCCATGTACTCTCTATGGACAATAAGATGGTTCTCTTTTCWGCTGCCTTAAGGGTCCCATACAAGGGTTTTACCAGTAGTCTTTTCCAGTTCTCCAGTTCTTTTGCCAGCTGGCTTTCAGATTTCCAGGTGAGCTGGATCTTCTTCCCTGTCTCAGTAYCTCTCCTCTCAAAAGCAAAGAGCTTTTSACTAATTTTGTGCACAGGGGTAGGGGTATAGGAAGAGACAAATTTCGGACCCAAAACAGTAAACCACTCAAGTTCACTGGTCGGTGTAGTCATGGTTCCCTGTCTGGGAATCGAACCTGGGTTACAGCAGTGGGAGCCCTGAACCACTAGATCACTAGGGAATGTAATCTAACCTTGTCTCTCCTGTTCAGAGGGGCTATCTGTATTGGGCTCATCAGACTTGCTGTTAATTTCGATTGTTTCTCCCATTGTTTCGGCACTGATCGTTTGGTCTCCCCCGCTCCCGGCTTCCGCGGCACCGGGAACGGCAACAGGACCTGTCCCCTGCCTCGGCCCCGCTCCCGCCCCAAGGGCTGTCGGGCGGTGGTGGACCCGGGCCCTCTCCAGTCCCACTCCTGTCCCCAGGGCTGTTGGGGGGCGGTGGGCAGTCATCCCCCGCTTCCAGCCCCGGAGGGACTGGGGGAAGGGGTGGCAGCGGCAGGGGATGGGGAGGGGGTGCCGCACCTCCCTCC